TAATCAAATGCATGCGGCTGAGGGTCAAAAATCCTGAAATAGTTCCAGCCGGCTTGCGAGAGCGTCCTTAGCAAAATCACTAACAGAAGATACACATACTTACAGCCCCATGCGATCTCAGCTTTTTTGGTATATTTTTATATACATCATCAACAATATCTTTTTCTAACCTGCACAAATAGAGAACGATGAAATTGCATGATACACTGCAGTTCACAAGTGCGCCGGCGACCATTGTTATGTAAAATAAAGTAAGTCCTTGCAGTCCCCAAATTGCGACCACTAATAAAGTGAACATTGCGAGCAGCCATCCAAACACAAAGCACGATACAATTATTGTCAAGGATCGCACAAGTTTTTTTGTCACCGCGGAAATTGTAACTGAAGTAATTCCATTAACGAGCTTTTTTGACTTGTAGAATTGCAATGCACATGACTTCTTGCAGCTTCTGTGTCTTGTTCCTTTTTGTGCGTTTTTGCTGTGCAGCTCTACAGCAGCTGTGCAGCTATAGCGCTGCAACAGCCAGCAAAAGCGCATATTGTCGAGAGGCTGTGTTTTTGTGTGTGTGTGTGTGTGGTGTGTGTGTCTGCTCGAAAAGCGAGTGCATTTTGTCACCCACTTTCATCTCAGCAACCAGGAAAGCTGGGAAGCTGAAACTTTGGGTGTATGTTCCTACCCCGTGTGTCATCCTCCCGTTTTAAGATCATTCCCCATGCGCGCCTGGACCCCGCGTACAGGACCCCCAAAGAAATGTGTTGGCGGGAAACGACTTCGCGAACCAGGCAAGGTAGAAAGCTGAAACTTTGCAGGGATATTCTGTATGCAAGTGTGAGCTAAAAATTTTAAACTCAGTTGCCGGGCCCCTCAACCACAGCCTGAAGCAGCTCCTCAACCCAAAAATCGTTCGCAACTCGGACCTGAACCGTTATCGCATATTTAAATGAACATGGTTTTTTTGGCAAACGACCGTTCGAGCAACACTTCCAATTTTTCATAAACTGGAAATTTGCATTTTTTCAAAAAATTTGCATTTGTCATTTTTTCACACGAGCATTTACCAAAAAAGCGACTTCATGCAAAAAACCAGAATCATGCACCTGGATGCGCGTGCGGCTCTATAATGCACCACCTTCATCCCAACTGA